GGAGAAAATATTAAAAATTATAAAAAAATAATGTAGAAAAATTTTTTTTGTCATAGTATTTTATGAGTATTTATGAGAAAGCACTTATTCTATGAGTAATTATGAAAAATTATGAGAAAATTTAATTGAAGAACCTACGAAACGACAGGGTCTGCGCGCAATATGCAGCCAATCTGCCGTCATAGTCTGTCGACAGGCTCTGCGCGCAATCTGCCGCCAGTCTGTCGTCAGAGTCTGTTCGCAGACCCTGTCAACAGTCTGGCGGCAGATTGGGGACGCAGATGTCTATGGATCTGTCGACAGATCCTGCTCGGATTCGACAGATCCTGTCGACAGTCTGACGTCAGTCTGCGCGCAGATTGCTTACTGGGTAATGATTTCAATCAAATGTAATCAACTGATCTAATTTAGTCGTGCCAACTGTTTGAGAATTTACTAGAATCCATTGGATGCTTTTGAGATCCAATTCAGTCACCCTTTTTCCAGGGACAATCTAACCTAATCTGAAATGTCGCTGCGACTCGCTGAAGATGATTTTGTCATTGTAAATTGTCATAATTTCACTTTTTATTTATAAAGATAAGTAGCATTATCTAGTGGGTCGCAATTTTAAATGGACCATTTTCTCTGGAACGATACGTCGGTTCATATTGGAACTTGCATATTCGTAATCAGCGCACCAAAAACTATAAAATAAGACCAATCTGAATACAAAATTTTTTTTCTGAATGAAATGAGTCACTAGCACATATAGGCACTTGACCGCACTCTTTAGCAATGTAAAATTCTTTATTTCGAAATTCTTTTATTGTGCAGATGTAAGAGATGCTGATTAATATACATGGAAACTATCAATTTAAATATTGGCTTACCGTATAACTGATCGTATCGTCGATCGTTGGGCAACTCGCATACCACGAAATGATAAAGCTATCGTTTTTATCCGGTGACGCCGTTACGCGCAATCTCTTTGGAGGCGCGCGCTTATTGAAATACGTCGCAACTGACACTGGTTGACTCAACGGTCCTGCCCCATACTCCGCTCCATTCACACCAACGGCGAAGAAATATGACTCACATGCTTCCAAGTCCTTGACCGTAGCCGTGAGATTAGTCGTGAACAACTTAGGAGCTGTAAATAAAGATATATTTTATTTAAATGACACAAGAAAGAGAGGGCAATATTTGATGGCCTATACTATGTGTATTATTATAAATACAATATTATATAACTCTGGGATTTTAACCCTCCTTGGTCACCTGAGGTGTACAGCACCCCAAGCAATTTTCAATTTCAAATTCTCTTCGGAAGTAACGGAATTCTAGACGCTAAATCTAAATATATGATTTTTTTTATTTTAACTATTGGAGCATGTTTTTATGATCTTCAAGAATGTGTCAACGCATCTAAATAATTTAAAGATGCGATCTGATTAAAATGGCAACACGAAAATGACATTGAGGTGTGCCACACCTCATGTAATCAACTTGTTGCGATTAGAAAGTGTGACCAGGAAGGATAAATATGATAATATAGATAAGAAGATATATGATAATATGAATAGCATTTTTAACAGCTGTGTCAGTAATTAATATTCTTGGCGACTTTCGAGATAAGAATCATCAAGTCTCTCAATAATATGATGAAAAGTTATTAAAAAACAGTGCATATGTTATGGTTCCGTATCGCGAACGCCTTTAGAATTGACTGATCAATGTGTGGAACAACCAAGGGTTTTGGTCGAAGCCCGAAATAATTTTACATCTCGGCTTTTGACTGGTGTGTTTTTAGTCAATCTTAGGAGAGACTAATAAAGCTAGTCAAAGTTAGAAATTATAGAATATGAATGTGTTATGACAAAAAAGATTAAAAAGTATATCTTTAATGGGGGGTGGAGGACTTTGCCCTAAAAATCTAATTTAATCCTACTTTACAGTATCACAAGAATATTGGTTGTTAAAATATACATGCATAAATATACATTTTTTAACAACCAACATTGTTACAATACCGTAAGGTAGGATTAAGATAGATTTTTAGGGCAAAAAGTCCCGTACTCCATCAAAGATATATTTTTTAATTTTTTTTGTTATAAAATATTCATATTTTTTAGTTTTTAGTTATTACATTCATATATTATTAGGACCTTAACTTAGTTTCCGCCCAAAAAATACTGAGAAAAAGCATTTATTGTAAAAAATTTATTTAAATTATTTCAATGAAAGTATTTTCCATCACTTTCTACAACTTTTTGCCATCTTTCTGGCAACTGGGCGATACCATCTCGATAAAACGATGTTTGTTTCGAAGCAATCCATTCGTCCACCCATTCTCGCACTTCTTCAACATTTCGGAAGCGTG